ATCTATGTCTCGGAATATGGAGCAAGAATGACTTCTGTGTTAAGTAAATATCTGCAATTGCTTGTGAAAGAAAACCAGTAAATATCAGGACACCCCGATGAATAAGTCCAACTCTTAAAAACCATGACTGCCTAGGGACCCTAGGATAAAATGTCCTTTAACTTTTTTGTAGGAACTATCACATCAGGGTGCTTTGATTCTAAATCAGGTGATTGATACCAAGTTCGCTCTCTATGGAGCGATCTATAAAAGAAAGCAATAAAATCAAATGCTAATAAAGAATGTTAAAAAAGGTTTCCCCTCCAAGAGGCAAACCTCAGACCTCCTTCATTTCTTCACCATTAACAATTTTGTAACTAACATATTTGTGGGATTCCTTGCGGCTGTGTGTGTCCATGGGCTGCAAGCAGCTCAGTAGCCGTGGCTGTCCTGGTTCCTCACTGCTGATCACCCAGAACCTAGCTCTCAGTACCGGGCACATAATAGCTGCTCAGTAAATACTGGCTGAGGTATAACAAACCTCATTTTCAGACATCATTCCTTTCATTTGGCAGAAGCCAAAAGGCTACCAATTCATCACTGGGCTCATGGCACATGTCTACAAGGTAAACTTTATAAAGATTTTTTACTGAAAAGCACACCAACACTATAGTTAATTAACTGATTTTAAATAAATTAAAAAAAAGAAGAAGACCATAGGTTTTACATATGGATGGTCCAGCTGCAAAACAGACTTTTTTCTTAATGCACAGTACTTGACTGATTCTAAATGCACATTTTTAAAACATCCCTGAAATGGAGGCACATCATGTAATAAGCAGTATGTCAGAGTTGAAGTGGCAGAGTTTTTCCTCAGGAGTAAATACAACAGCGATGTGTCTTGTAACTGATGGGCTGTGGGTTCCATGAAATGCAGTATGTAAAGAAATCAGGCTTCCGCAGTCCGTTCGGTTGGGCGCTCCTCCGCCCGGGGGGGCAGGGCCGCTGGGCCCTCACAAGCACCACAGGTGTCTCCCCGAGGCTCTGAGTCTACTGCATTCTTGGGTGTCCATCTGGGTGTCCAGATCCCCAGGAGAACTGACAGGACAGCCACTGGAGGGCTCCCCGTGCCTTCACAAGTCTGCCCACATAACCCCAGTCCGGAAGGATCCTACATTCTCCATAGCACAAAATCTCTCTCTTCTAAACGCCCGGTTTCAGAAGCTAGCTCCCCACAAGGCTTTCTCTGCGTTCCCAGCATGATGCACGCACACCTGGCCAGCATGCATTTCGTGCTACCGTTTGTCATGAAGTTAGCCTCCTTATGCTTCCCCTGTTAGCCTCGGAACTCCCTGAGGTCCAAGAGCATCCTTCCTGACCTTCACACTATCCTGAACCCTGAGCAGTGCTTGGTACGTCAAAAGTGTTCAGTGTGTCTGTTGGACTGACCCAAGTGTCTCTCCGTCTACAGCTGTTTGCCCAGAGGACCTTCCCGTACCATACAATCAATTCCAAACTAAAATGCCAAAGATCAGAAACACGGAGCGAAAAGAAGTCTAGTAATTGATTTCAGGAAAAAAGTGGACATTCTAAGTCTCTGAAAACATACCTTTAAATTCCTTTACCACGTGCAAGCAAGCCTTTATTAATTCCTCCGCAAACGCTCCTTGCAGGGAATGTCCTGATGACACCTAATTCCTTTTTTTTTTTAAGATTTTATTTATTTATTTGAGAGAGAGAGAATGAGAGATAGAGAGCACGAGACGGAAGAGGGTCAGAGGGAGAAGCAGACTCCCTGCTGAGCAGGGAGCCCGATGCGGGACTCGATCCCGGGACTCCAAGATCATGACCCGAGCCGAAGGCAGTCGCTTAACCAACTGAGCCACCCAGGTGCCCCTGATGACACCTAATTCCTGATAATCTCTGGTCTGACTGTACCTGAGACCCTCCTGCTTCTGCTACAAAAGATTAAGGTGGCGTGAAGGCATTGGAAGGGCAACCCCTTTGTACCCTGTAACATTTCAGTTACAGATAACCTTCCATGGGCAAAACGAATCCAAACCTTCCCTATGCCATATAAACCAGAAATGCTTAAATATCACCCAAAAAGGAAATGAAACAATGCACACATGCAACAGAAGATTCCAGGACTCCATCCCCTGGTCTAGAGGACAGAGGTCGTCCCCGGCCAGAGAGAACGGGGAAAATCAGCAACCTGTGTAGGGCCTGGAAGTTGGGAGGTGTCAGGCGCCACTGGAGACCCAGACCATTCGGGCAGAAGCCAGGAGAACTGGGGGAGCCCAGCCTTTCTCTCCTCAGAGAGCATGCCTCCCCCAGAGTAGCTTCTAGAATCCGGACCTGAAACCCAAATAGGAGATCTGGAAAGGGCACATCAGAGGTTTAAACGGGGCCCGAACACCCGGAGAATGTGAAGACTCCAGCTCCATCCAGCATCTTGGACCCCAGAGTGCCCTGACCGTGCCTCACAGAGACGACTAACGGCGGAGGGGTCTGCGGTGGGCAGCCAGGACCTGGGAAAACGGAACCAGTGGGCGCGGGTGCAGAGGTGACAGGCTGTGGCCTTTGAACCCTGGGCACGAAGCAGCAGCACAAATCCATCTCAGGGCCTCCTGGTGCCTTTGCCTGTGTTTACCAAGCTCTTACTCTTTGCAAAGCAACAATATCTGGGGAGAGGGGTAAGGCAGGGGTGGTGTTCAGAGAAGCGGATGGGGCTCCCGCCCCGGAACGGTGGGCTCTGGGCAACAGGCTTGGGTGCCTCGCCTCAACTGCCAGTCACATCTTTAGTCTGTCTCTCTTGGGCTCACACCTTTGCTGTATCCCTTCAAAACATACCCTTTCTCCCAAAGAAGGTAGATATTCCCACAGGACAACAACAGCATGCTCCACAGATCTGAGTGTGATCACAGGGGACTGGCTAGGAGGAAAGACTTTGCACTTGAGAAGACCTCTCCGCGCTCAGGATCTCTGGTGTCTCTGCCATCGGAGAGAAGACTGACAGCACTGTCTGTCAAGCAGGCCAGGTGCTTCCAAATGATGGAACAACCCTCACCTGCACCATGTGAGTCCCCCACCGGCCAAGGCGCAGGCGTGCGGGCGCTCCGCACCGCCAAGCCGGGCAGCCGTCCCAGATCTGCTGCAGGAAGCTTGTGGAACAATGCAGGGACAAACCCATTTTCAACGGTGATGGAAGGGAATATGCATGTATATACGCTATGTAAATACCCTCTCTGATTTTATTCCTCTTTCCAATATAAGTCTCTATTGGACTAAACAATCCTCATTTAATCACCTTTGCTTTTTTTTTAACGTCATTAACATTTAAGTCCATCAATCTGCTATTGATTTTTCAGCAGCTGACCAGGTTGAAACTGCAGACACCAGGAGCCAGCCAACTGGAGCAGCTGTGTCCACATGTACCACGTTCCCCACTCAGTGTTCTGGACCACCAGCTCCTGATCTGATCGCCAAGACTCCTTGCGTCTCTTATGGAACCTCCTCCCCTGGAACGCCTCAGACTCCCCACCTCTGTGTCTCCATGGCCTCCCGCTTTACCCCACACCTGAACTGTGCCAACTCCAAGCCCCTCCACCTGCCCAACGGGTGCAGTTCCTCTCTGTTCTGAGCCAGATCTGAGACCTCTCACCACCCTCCCCCCCACCACGGGCCTCATTTGAACCAGCCTCCCTGCCTCCAGGCTTGCTCCTTCCTCTGTTACCTAGATGTGGCTGACAAATCCACCTTGCTGAAGCACCGTGATCATGTGACTTCCTCCTGCGATACCCCTGAGGACTCCTTAATGTGGGAGGGAGAAGAGTCCAGACTCCTTAGTGTCCTTCAAAGCCAAACAAGTCTGTGAAATCCCCCTGCTCCCTCCTATAACCCCCCCCCCCCCCCCCCCGTACTCACCGAAACCTACCCAGTATAAGTCTGCCACTCAAGCTGTCCCCTCCACCCGCGAGTACCCTCGGCCCCTGGCTCCACACATGCAAACCCTCCAGCCCCACCAAGGTGGGCTGGGTAATGTCTGATCTCCAAAAGCTTTCCCTGGCCACTTTCGATGGAAAAGATCCTTCACTCGTAACTCCTATGACACATTTTTTTTTTCTTTACTAGGCACCCCACCCCACCCCCATCTCTTAACACACGGACCTTTCCCTCCTGGGAATTCCCTGCGGGCTGGCCTCTGCCTGACTGCTGCCTGCATCCTCCTCGGGGACCTAGCCCCAAGGCGGGCCGGCGGCACTCCGTGCCCAGCGCCCAGAACTTGATAGCAGTCAGCTTGGGTGTCCCCCCTTCCCATTCTTGGGCACCCCTCAGGGAGTCCTCCTCCCCAAGGCAGGGCATTCTCCCCACCTAAAACAGAATTTCCCTGCTCCCATTCCCAAACAGGTACATAGGCCCACTTGTAAGCTAGACACGCGTTCCAAATCGGCCTGGGCGCGCACAGTTGTCACGGACCGCACCCTGCGGTCAGGTCCCGCCGCGGAGACAGAAGGCGCGAGTCGGGCAGGGCCGGGATGCTCCAGGCCGCCGCGGTGCTGCAGGCTGGGGGCTCGCGCCCACTCGAGATCAGGGCACAGGGCGGCGGCGCGGGGAGAGGGGGGCGCGCCGTGCGGGCGAAGCCGCGAGTTCCACCCTGGGCCACCCTGTTGAATCCCGGCTCCAAACTTTTCCCGGCGCCCGCGCGGCGCCCTCCCGCCACCCCGACCGCTGCCGGAGATGCGGCGGGGGCCGCGACCCGAAGAGGAAGCCGCGCGGGACGGGGAAGCCAAGGGTGGGTGTTCTCGGAAGCCCAAGGGGTCGCGGGCCCGCCCTCCGGTTGCGGGGGTCGCGAGGCCCGCGTCCGCCGCCCGCGGGGCCGGGCCGGGTGGAAAGAGGGGAGAAGGCGCCGCCGCCGTGCGGGTGCTGATGCTGCGGCGCTCGGGCCCCCGTGCGCGCCTGCCCCCCAGGTGCGCGCGGGGCCCCGGCCGGGCCTGCGGGCGGGCGCGGCCGCTACTCACCCGGAGGGTTGACCGCCGCCGGGGTTGCCATGTTGCCGGGAGGCCGGGAGGCCGGGCGGGGCGGAGGGCGGCGCGGAGCCGGGGCCCGGAGGGCGGGCGGGCCCAGGCGCCGCCGCCGCCGCCACACAAAGGCCGGCGCGGGCGGGCGCTGCCTCCGCTCCCCCCGCCGCCGCCGCCGCCG